TGTCCGGTTAATGTAAGCTGCGCGCGAGTCGCTCGGGTGACCGTGACTCACCTCGCCGTAACCTCGTAGCACATTTGGCTAGAGCCCTCCCTTCCCGTCGTCGCCGCGGCCTTTCTCGCGGGGGGGAAAATTTATTCTAATTGGCCGGATCGCCGCGGCCTCCGAAGGTTCTCACGACGCGCGCGCGCGCAAACTCCGTCTGGAAAGTAGACAAGAAAACGAAGCGATTGAACGGCGCGGCGTAATCGACCGGTGTGTGTTCCGAGCTACGCCCGGCCGCAACAAACACAGCAGGAATAAGTACTGGTTACCCTGTTCAATTTCCATAAGGATCGCTTCGGTCCATCCGGAGTGGTTGATACAAGTTAATGCGCTGCCGTGCACGTATCGTATCGTGCGCGCACACACACACACACACACGCATACACACACACGCGCGCGCGCGCGCGACTATCGCGCGGCGTTGATGCTATTGCCACCGATTGCTGGTAGTAATTATCTTATCGCGCCGCGCGATCGTTCTCCTTACGTGTATATCGCGCCGACGCTATATACGGTATATCTTTATTAGTAATAACTAAACGCGCACGTTAATAATCTCTAGATCATTTCGATCCGCATTCGGTTACACAGTGTCCTCCCGCGTGGAAAATGTTTAATCGCCCGGGACCGGTCATTCGATGATCGATCGTTTCCGCGGAATCTCTTTCTCGCGGGAAGCGAGCGTTCCATTCGGTCGCACCGCCTTGTCTTGGAACTAGTAATTTTGCGGCGCCCGATCGGCATCGCGAAACGAGACGAGTCCGAGACGGAAAGGCCGCGCTGTGAACTGACCCTTTTATTTACGAGCTCGCAAAGATGCGCGCGGCCGAATTACGGGAGGGCGATCATCATGATGGGGGGGAGGGCCATTGGGTCGATCGGTGCTCAAGGGCGGACGAATAGCGGCCGTGCTCGTAAATCGGCAAACACGACGACGACGACGACGACACAACGACGACGACGACGACGACGGCGGCGGTCGTTTCCCTGCGAAATTCCGCAAGCGCGAGATAGCCGATTACGATTGAACCCGATGGGACATCCAGGCACCGTTACTCCGCCATGGTGACGCGATGCTAAAGGCACCTGGTACGGAGTGCAGGCTTTTCCCCCCTCTTTCGTTCGCCGCGACCGTCCTTCTCCCTCTTCTTCTTCTTGTTTCTTTCGCTTCTGCTTTGCCGTCTTTTTCTCTCTCTCTCTCTCTTTCTCTCTCTTTCTCCCGCTGAAAGCTTCTCCGTGCGCTTACATCGTCGAGTGTGTTTCCGCGGAGACACACCGACGCCCGGCCTGGGTCGCGTTGTTCACACGTGAACATTCAATTTTGCTCTCTTTGAGACCTCTTCGATTCCTCCTCTCTCTCTCTCTCACTCTCTCTCGATCTTCATCATCATCATCTTCGTTTCCTCTGGCAGCTCCTCGCCGAGGAGCAGCAAAGTATGCGTGCGCTATCTCGCGCGACATAATTACTATTTACTCGACACGCATCATCGGCTCATTTCGCGGGTCTTACGACGGCAACAGGTTCCAGTTAATGACGGAGATTGCCCCGCGCGTCCGTCTCGTTTCTAATCGCGTCGACGGAAATTATCTTCGCTACTCGGGCGTGCATCGAAACACGCGTGTGCCGATATATTCCCGTACGGAATACGTCGAATTCATTTCTTACGATCGATCGTCTATGTGTGTGTGTGTATGTGTGTATCCGCAGTTAAACGTCGGTGTTCGTTTGTGCGGCGCGTATTTTGTGCTCATAAAACCGATACGGGCACGTTGCGCGCGCGACTGTGACTCGCGGCCGAAACACACGTCGCGCTCGTAAATTTACAAACGACGCCGCTCTCACGCCGGAAGCGAGATAAGAATGAAATTCCACGGTTGATTCGGGCGGCGGTGCGCCCGAAGCGAGAGCGGTCCGTTATATGTACACCGCAAAGGAATTGGGCGAGAAACCGAAAGGCCGTATGGGAAACATTACGTGTTATCTCTCACGATTACACGCAGAAGACACTCGAGGCGATATACGCGTCTAAGCTTGTATATTCGCCTCTGTCAGAATCCGCTTTTTCGCGGTGTCCTCCAACTGACTGTCAACGTACGGGAAAGAACACACTTGAGATAAAGACTGACGCGAAAGAGACGCTTGTGCGTATTCTAACTAATAATGGAGGATAAGAGGATGTCGAGAGGTCTGGTAAATCCCTGTCGGCGGTGCGACTTCACGCGTGAAGTGTCACGACACAAGGCTTATCCGCGGGCGTAATGTGTGAGTGTCATCTCGCGAAACAGACCCTCCGTCGTTGAACGTACCATTATTACGTTCGATAGGTCACGGGATATACTCGAGAGTAAAGTGGGTGTGGGTGGAAATAAGTGGTGGGATCTCTTTCGGGGTCCGGTGAACTCGGCGCTGTCTGAACCACGCGCGGTCTGAACCTCGGCCGCTGACGCCTTAAATTGCCACGTCTTTAATGATTCCACCTGACAACGAGTCAAGAGAAAAAAAACCAAAAAAAAAAGAAGGAACAAGAAGCGGGAAGATCGAGCGATCGCGCGCGGGGAATCTGGGCGGGGATGCGCGAGGTGGCCGATCAAGAGAAAGAGAAAGAGAGGTAGGAGAGAGACTGGCGGTTGATGTCTTCAATGGTGTTGTACCGGCGATCGAATTGTGCGTACCGTTCTGTCCTCCTTAGACGGCGGCGGCCTCGGTTCCCCTCCGGCAGACGTCTTCGGTCGCTCGAGGAAGAGCCACCACGGCCGTAGCCACAGCCAGCCAGGTGTACACAGTGCCTAAGAGCCAGCCGGCCGACATAGTTATATTCTACGAGCGGCCGCGAGCGGCGTGCGCGAACGAAGACGAGACTCGCGACAAGGCACATCACCATTGCGAATCGGTGAGACGCGCGCGCGTTTTGTGATTTTGCGTGGTGGTTTTACGGTGCCATGCGCGACAAACAAAAGTAATCGATATATACATATAGATATATATGTAATATATATGTATATATACACACGATATATATATATATACATATATAAACTTCTCTCGCGTACTCTTCCCTCGCGTATCCTGCGGAACTTATTGGACTGATTGGTTCTATCCGCGATTGGGCCACGTTTGTGTGTACCGTTTTCAAAGCATTGTGCGCTAACGGCCGTTCTCAAGCGATCAGTTTACGATCCCGTGAGAAAGGTGCTCGAAAGGAATTCGCCTTGGCGCAAACGCGCGCACGAGAGAGTGTCGGGATAAAGCCCGAATTGCTGCTGCGTGCGTTTGCAATCTTCTGCCCAGGTGTGTGTGCCAGCAGCCGGGCGGTTCGTGTCCCACAAAATTCGACGTCGACAGTTGCTGTTTCTCGCCCGACTCGATCCCAGGTAACTTGAATTTCCGGTGCGTTCTGTGCGCCGCGCCGGACCAAAGGTACATACATCCGACACGGTGCGTAATTATTTTAACATGCGGTGTGCACAGGAAAAACCGGCGGTTTTTGGAACACACATTATATATATCGGGTGCGCGTCGCTGTTTTCAATACAAAACCCGCCGAGCGGCGTTTTCGCGCGCAGATTGCTGGGGCCGCGAAAATCCACCGGGGTCACAGTGGTGCACGAAAGTATCCGGCGATTTAAATTCCCGCATATGCGCGCCTCGCTGTTTGTTATTTATTGCGCAATATATACAGCGGGCGCGGTGTAACGGAAATATGAACGATTCGCAATTTATTGCCGCTGCGGCTTTCGCATTTTTAATATTTTAATTGTCGTTTTAATTTATCCGCGCGCGCATCCGCAGTTTTGTTATGCGCAATCTGTCGTAATGCATTATATACGTTAATGAAAACAGATATTTATAGACTCGAAAAAAAAAAAAAAAAAAAAAAAAAATTATGTTCGCGGTAATGTTACCTGTTATGTTTTCGAAATGTTCTAAGTCCACCTCCGCGCAAGAGCGCGTATCTCGCGCGCGTAAAGTATATATATATAAAATATCTCTTAATTTATTGAGAGAATTATTTATGAAAATTATATATATTATCTCGTTGTTGTATTTTTCGCGCTACGACTTCGTTTTTTTTTGCTGCTTACAAGCCAGCATTTCGATGTTCGTCGAATGATGTTTCGAAATTGTCTCGAAATCACCACTGGGTTGATGCTGACCTCTTTACAAAATTCATGAACGCGATCGTTACAAACATCTCATCTCTACTTTACATTATTAATGCTCCACGAACTTTATTTTCCAGTCTACTAGACTCGTTCTTTGCGACTTCGGCACGACATTTTACCAACGGCTATATCATCCCGTTAATCCGTATCTCCGTTAATCCCTTTATGTGGACAATAGTTTGAACCAGAGACGATAGTTTTATTAAGAAAAACATGTTTGTAGAGAAACGCCGACGATGTTCGAATTTGCGGTTTGTTCTCCACTTCGTACAAGAAAGTGCTTGTGTATCAATTGTCATTAAGTGCTCCGTGAGAGAATCAACAAACTTCTTTCTACATTCGTAATTTCTTCCGTATTTCTGGCTCTCTTTTTAAGTTTATTCCTGGTAAACCATCTCGCAACATGAAAAATAATTAAATATAATGTGAAAACTCTCCACACAGAGAGACACGTGACGTTTCACGTGTAGTTCCGGAAAACTGAGATTTTTCGAGAAAATGGCGTGAACGCCGTCCACACATCTCAGACACAAGTCAAACAAAGTCGGAGAAAGAAAAACAGTTGCTGTCTAGAAAAAAAAAATACCAAATCTGCGTCCTCTTATTCTCTCGAATTTCACAAATCTTTAACTAACGCTTTCGGATTACTATTTAAATACCTAAAAAAAACAAACATTTGTTTTTAGAATTTAAAAATTTTCTTTTTGGATATAAAAGTGCAAAAGAAACTCAACATTTATTTTTTCCAGTGCGATTCAAAATAACGAGAAAAAAAAATCGAATTTTTGTTTCAGATTCCACACGTTCGCGACGTCGTTGCAACCTGAGCGTTCGATCGAGGCACGACAATGACACGGCCGTACACTCGTCGACAATTCTTCGCTTTACTCCTGCTCCTGCAGACCGCCGCCTCGAGATACGGTCACGCGGTTCACGCGGCTTCCGCGGAATCGACGCACGCTGCGACGGCCGAGCTGTCGCCGTCGTCCGCGTCCGTGCCGTCCGGCCTGTCCGGTCCGGATTACACCGGGCCGTCCGCGGGTTCGGACGAATGCGATCCCGAGATGGTCGGCTTCGAGCTGGTAACCGGCTACGTGTATACCGCGCCTACGAACATGCTCGAGTCCATACCGGGCACGTTGATGCTCACCGACTGCCTGGAGACCTGTCAGGCAAACGACTCCTGCCAGGCGGTCAACTACGAGACAGGCCTGTGCGTCCTATTCAGCTCTAACGCCGACAGCAATCCAGGTAAGATTGAATCGTTATCGTATCTTCCTAAAGACTGTGGTAAGAACTATCGGACCGCGTGTGCGATGATACCGGCAAAGCCCCTCAGGACGGCGGCTACGTTCGATAGCCGCTTTAGGCCGAGTGTGTTTTTACGAAGGATAAATGTTGGCGAAACTTGCTCGATTGCCTTATTACGCGGATGTTAATTAAGAACACGTTTTACAACGTCACGGCAATAAAAAATAACGAGTCTTCAGAGAGTTTTCGAATATTTACTTGGGCGGTGTGTTTGTGCGCCGTAAATTCGAGAGTAATGACATTGAATTTTAAGATATGCGTTTTACGACATTAGCAAATCCTCGCGAGGTAAACAGTAGTAGTCGGAAGGGCAAGAAATAAGAGATGAGATAATCTTCGCTTTTTTTTGTTTTTAATTTTGTTATTAAAATTAGATTTCTATACGTGTGTACGCGCGCAAGATGAGCAGAAACCCTCAAGCCCTCCCCGCGCGCGTTGTTTTGCGCGCAATTACGGTGCTTCGCGGGATAACCGAAGTATGTTAAAATCGTTTCACATCAGTCTCGTATGAGCACACTTTGTGTAATGTAAGGATCGCTTTGGGCGAAACGCGATAATTTTCTGTACAATGCCTGCGGTACCAATTGCCTTGATTTACCGGATGAAAATAAGCGAAACACGAAGGCATAATAGACGATGTCGTCCGGTAACTCGTGTGTCGGTGAGAATCGGGTCGGTGTGCTTATCGCACGTTATTCTCCGCAAACTCGCATGCGAGATTTTTCACTTGTCCGATCTATTAATTAATTTAGTAATAACGAGAAGGTTTATTAAAAAGGAGATCACAAAAAAAAAAAACAAACCTGCGCGCGTAAGATTACACGCTATCAATTTTTTTTTTCGTAGAGAATAAACTTTTGCCACGCACATATTTTTCGCGATATAACTGCGGTTCATCTCGGAATATTTTTTTTAATGTATGAAAATGTATTTTTAAATATTTCTGTGGACTTTAATATACACGTATTTCACATTGTACTTTACATATATACATTATACATTATACTTTAACGTGTTTCAAGCGAAATTTTTCTATTCGCGTTGACATCGCACAAAAATATGCAGGATTTTCGCGTTGACCAGCGCAATAATTGTTTCGTGTACAAAACATTTTTGCGAATATTATCTTTTAACGTACAGCTTTTAATTCTTTCAATAATTTATTCGTTTAATATTCTTTTTCTCTGTCAAATTTTATTGCACGTTATTTTTCATTTCGTTGTACACGTAAAATACATTAAAAAGAAAAGAAAAAAAAAAAAAAAAAAAAAAAAAAAAAAAAAAAAAAAAAAAACTGATCTCTTTGAAAGAGCGCGCTGAGCGTATTCGAACATTAAAATATTGTTACCTTACAACATAATCAATACACAATAAACGGAACATGTATTGAATATCTGTGTGAGAAAGCGCACATAATTTACCGGCAAAACTTATATAAAGCCGTAACTGAATTCCGCAACGCGCGTTTCATCAAGTAATATCGATTCTCCGAGCACGAATAACACGAACGGCCGTTCTCTCCGGCAAACACCTCTGGAATTGCATCCGCTTTCGTTCGCTTGTTCGAATCTTATTTAAATTTTTGCCGAGTACGAAACAGCTTTCGCACTTTCAGTACCGTTGATTTTTCTACGAGAGAGAGGAGGCTGCACCCGGCGGAGTGCCACATATTGGGCGTCGCCTGAGGTGCACTCTTTCTCGAGTATTTCTTGACCCATTATTTTCCCGTCGCTGTTGAATGCCTTTACAGCACGTACACGCGAATATATATATATAATATATATATATATATATATATGTTCGCGAATATATATATATATATATTATATATCCAAGTCTCGGAGAACTTTGAAACACGTTGATAAAATCTCGATCATAAATCGCGGTCGTAGTACAGCAGGTGAATTTGTCGCTGTTACACGTTTTGTAATGTTTAATTTGGAACGTATAGAAGAAAAAAATAAACATACAAAACATACTCTCCGCGCAAGTTTTGATTATTCATATAAATGCTATAAAAGCGATCAGATTTGTCGACGTGAATGCGATAGAAAAAGTTTAGAAATGTTTAAACAAATATTCCTTTGGATAGAAATACGTCAAAAAATTGATTGATTAAACTTTATTTATTCAAGCGCTCTAGGAAAAGTCAAGCGCAACGTCAATCAAAAAATAACGGTACACACAGGAATGTAAGAAATAGTATATTAGAGAAAAATAAATAGTGAGTATATATAAAGATGGAACAAACAAATATAGGAATTAACAAAAACAAAATAAATATATACAAGAAGAAAAAACAAACAAATTAAAATCGAAAAACAAATTACAGCTGAACATTTTCAAAGCTGAACGTTTTCAAAGCTGAACGTTTAAATTTTAAAAGAAAATCGAACAAGAGAATTTCTCTTGTCTGAATAGACACATTTTCGCGGGCTTTGCTTAAAGAAGAAAAGAGCAATATGTACAATGTGTTACGTGCACCTATATATATTTGGCCCCGACGATGAATTATAAGGATCACGTGCATTGTCAGAGGGTGCTACCTCTCGGTGGTTCCTCATGAATAATGGATACCGGTATAAGTAAGTGTAATGAGAAAACGTACTAATTGAATCTTCCTGGTATAATTAATATAAACTATACGTCCGCAGACGTCGGACTCGCGGGTATTAATTAAACAACAGAATGAGATCTATCTATGGAGAGAAGCGGGTATTGTTCTGTAAATATTTTTCAAGCGCATCTGTCAGGAGTAACACGCACCGTGTAATTTGCTTCCGAGATGGGGAAATTAACGTGTATGAATTATTATCTCACGCTGCGAGTTTCGCCAACTTTGAGCGTGTCTCGAAAATTTCGTCGTCGGGATCAATCGGTAATGATTTATCGGCTGGATTGTTTAATCACGATCGACATCGATTCGAATGCAATTTTGTAATTTGCAACTTTCCTGTGCGAGTAATTAGTCGTAATAAGTTACACGCAAACAAACAAATTATTTGACGACGCTCTCAAAGTAATTAAATTCTAACAAATTTCTCTACATTCTTTCCGCTGCGAGACATTCCGTTTGAAACGTCGTCGTTTTCTTTTTTGCTCGCGGTCGGTGGCCCTTACGCGGACGCAAAAACGGATCCTCTAATGGACCAACCGTGCGCGCGATTCACTTCGTGGCACTTTTTACACAGAGAACTAACTATATGACCGGAACAGATTTGGTCAAAGAGAGAAAGAGAGAGAGAGAGACGGAGCATCGCGTCCCAATTGTGGGACCGCGCGGCGCTCGGGGCGATGTAATTCGCGCACATCTGGCTGCGCGCGAGATCTCGGGATAAAAAGTAAACGTCCCGCGATCTCGTGTAATCTTCGCGTGATATTTCTTTGACGCGGGATCGTCATGGCGAATAATTGCCAAAAGGCACACGGCAACGGCCGCGAACGAAAGGAAGCGCGGCGTAAAATTGCTGTTTAAAGTTCTCGAAAGACGACGACGATGCGTCGTCGTTTTATGTATATATACATATATACGCTCGCTTTTATGCCGCGCATCAACACTCGAGAGTACGCGTGATAATCTAAATGATGCGACACGCGCGTAAAAGAAACGCGATCTCAGGTGCGTCTAGTGCGAGCGGAGAAAGTAAAGGCGCGCTTCGTTGGGGACGCAGGAAATATGCAAAGAACCTGCCGGATGTCCCGCGCACCGGCGCCATTTGCCGACGAATTTTTCAAGAAAACCATTGCCCTTGCGAGCGGCGGCACGAGTGTGCCTGCGTGTGACAGCTTGACGTCTACAAAGTACTCTTTTTCCCGCTTTTAGCCCGCTTTCATCTCGCTTCCGTGCGCTCGTTGTCATCTGTCGTTTGCGTTTTTCGCTCTCTCCGTAACGGAGTCAAAAAGGCTCCGTGTTTAATCGCGAGCTTTCGGTAACGCGTCACGAAATCACGTTAGAGATGTCGTGCCAGGTCAATAGAATCTTTTACGGGACCGCGGATAAGAGACGACGATGAGAGAGAGAGAGAGAGAGGCGAGGACGGAGGAAGGTTAATTCGATCGGCTGCAAATCGGTCAATCGTGGACGTTCAAGAACGGGAGAGGATCTCGGTCACGCTTTGATGGTCTCTTGACACGAGTTTCCTTTCGGCACGACCGTCCGATAGATCTTTTCGTCGTGATTTCTCTCTCTCCCTTCTCCTCATCCCGCCTCTTGCCACTTGTTCATTAGGAACAAAAAGTCCGCGCGCAAATCGGACTCTTACATCCGCCGAAACCGAGACGAATGGCCGAATAAAATGTTCGCTCGGTCAAGACCGTACACAGCGCGCGCGATCGTGATCGATGGCGGTGCTGCAGCGCCGGCCAACAAGACGGCGACAACCGAGCGACGACACACCGTCGTCACGATCACGAAACTTTGAAACCGAGGGGACCCGTTAGTCGATAGGATGATAGGATCGTCGTTACACAGGCGAGCGAGCGAGCGAGCGAGCGAGCGAGTCGCCGACCTCCCTCCCTCCGTCTCGTCCCGCTTCGTCTCTAACGCGTGTCCCTCTTTCCGGCCACGGCGCCTCGTTCACGAAGAAGAACCATTTGGTACACCAGCGTCCGTCGAGATAATTACTTCTGGACGATACAGTCCGGTTTTGGACGGCTACCGCCTCTTCCCGCGTCTCGCTCCACACAACGCGCGTTTCTTCTCTCCATATACACGGTCACGAAAATTCGTCGCCGACGACTTCCGTGCTTCTTATTATAGCACGATTTGATTATGTAATATTATTTGATATTACACGCCGGCGTTACGACTCATCTATATTCGTTCGTAATAGTCCAGTAAGCATAATATGCAAAACTTTCCCATAGCTTTCCGTGACTGAAGGTTTCCGAGCGGAATGTAAAAACACTTTTTCCGCGCGTCGATTGCCTTACTTTGTTCC